TTGTAAATAAATAAACAGTACTGTGAAAAACTCAGGCTGCTACTCAGGGATTTATCTCCCAGTTCTGTCACTTGTGAGGATAGCAGAAGGTTGCAGTATTGGAGCAACAGAGAAAACTAATCATAGTATTCTGCTAAGTGCCACAGGAGATGGTGTTTACCTAGAAATAACTTAAACATTGTTCTTTTTTTTTTTAACTATAAAAATAAACCAATAAGAAAACAGTTTTTACAAATCAGAATAGTTAATCTTAAAAAACAGAAATGCTGGCAAGTTAGAGAGTATGACGGGAAATTAAGAGAAAGTGCCTTATGAAATTAGTGTGTGAGAGATAAGATACTATCAAAATTGATAGAATAATCCGAAGAAAGAAAATGGCATTTCAGACATAAAAAAGAGTCCCAGGAAGATGATGGTGGTGAACTGAAGCCTCTTCTACATAGCAGGAAGTCAGAGAGAAAAATCTAAAGCTAATAACTCAGCATGAATATATTACCTAAAGCTATGGCAGTAATCACTGAAACAATTAAAAATGTTTTTTCAGAGAAATGATAAATAACCAAATATATTTAAGTTCTATATAGCTGCATCAAGTACAAAAAAAAAAAAAAAAACTTTCTTGTAATACTCTTATCCATTTGACAAAACCAGTTCATTGTCTTTTTTTAGAACTGATTCCACTTTGTTAAATATATTAAGTACTTTATTAATTTCATTTAAAATGTGAATTATCAATTGCATCTGACTTGCAGGATTAAGAATATTGTTTTTCCGTGTATTCTGAGTTTTATTTCATAATTGGGAGGAAAGGTGATTTTAAAAATTTTTTAAATATTTTATCAGCTAAATATTTTGGCTGCAAATAGCAGAAATTGACTGCAACAAGTAGGAAAGGAATTTTTGACTAGTCATGAAATCACAGGGAAAGCTGGAGGATCAGGTTGAGAGAGAATGCAGCTGGGTGACACCAGGGCTCTGAATAGTAGGAACTCCTCAGCTTGTCATCCAGGTGACACCACAATGATAAATAACCTCTAATTTCTTTTGGTCTCTCCACCTGAGATTCTAAATTAAGAGAGAATCCTGTTTGACTTATACAAATCTTCAACACTGGACAAGGGAAAAGTACATGGCTCCTTGATTTATATCCTAGGAGTCACACTGCAGAGGACAAAAGAATCCTCAGAGTGCTATTATCAAAAGAAAGGAAATAAACTGATGGCTTGCCACATTATGTAACTCTTTAATAATGCAGAATTATAGTTTCCAGTGCTAGTCACAAAAAACAGCCATCAAAACAAGTAAGAAATCATTTTTTTTTTAATGCAGTGGTCCCAGTTATTGTTATTTAACCTTTGTTGCAGGAGCTTACCACATTGAATTGAAATTCTCACTGATTTCTCTCCCACTTGACTGAGTTTCATGTCTTCCATGAAGCAATTAATTTCAATTAGAAAATGAAAATATAGACTTAGTGATATTGAGGAAGACCTTGTGATAATTTAAGACTTCCCAGATATCTGTCACCTCGTCTCCCTCTTATACTTAATCAGCTTATTACTCACCAAGACTCAGCCCAAGCACTACTTCATCCAGGAAGGCTTTAGCCCTCATGCCCTCCCCCAGCATCCTCTTCTGATTTATGAGCCACTTCACCACCACCCCCAGGGAATGGTACTGCTGCTGTATTCACCCCACTGTGCCATGTTGACTTGTCACTCTCCCACATCAGCCAGATTGACAGACTCTGTCTGGGTTTTCTTTGGTTCTCTAGTTCCTTACTTAGTAAGTACACATCAAACATTCAGCAGATTCTTGGTTGGATGGATGGATTTGCCAGAGAAAATGGGATAAGACATTCCTTATGGAGCCCCACGTGTATGAAGGCATGGCTCATGGAATGTTCATGAACTGGTGAGAAATTCTGTAGGATGGGAGCACATATGAATTAATGGGAAAAGAGGCAGATAAGTTTGACTAGAGTGGGTCTCTAAGGTACCATTTACATTACATGTAGACAAATGTTTAGGGTTCGGAACTGACAGAAGAACAAGAGATTGGCAAGGGGAGCTGGGCGGAGCTGAGCCTGGTGAATAACTATTGGTTGTGGCAGGGGTCCTTGAAGAGAACCCTCAGATGGTAGGATATTGTCTCTGGGAGCTAGAAGGTTCAAACCTAGCTTGGGAGCAAGTGTGTTACCTACCATGGACCAGGCACTTACTTTTCTAGGTGCTGGGATGCAGTGGTGAGTCACACAGGATTCCTGTTCCCATGGAGTTTTCATTCTAGAAAGGACTGACAGATAAGAACGTAGAGCCACTACAGGACAGCACCTGCAGGTGAAGCACTCAGAGCAGTCGGGAGTCTGCACTGAAGATTTCCCTAGTTTAGAGAGCAGCCTCCTTACAGCCCACATCCCAATCATTTACTGCTAAGTGTTCCTAAGTAAAATGATCAGTATCACATATGTTCTTAACATACATAACATTTAGCCACTGTAGAGAAAAATGTTGCAGAGAAGAAAAAAATAATTTTATCACAGGAGTACTTTCTTTAGCAAAAATGTCTTTCTTTTGTTTCCTACCACACAGAGGGATATTATTTTTTAAGCTTAATGGGGTAAATATGCAATAATAGTATGAACAAAAGCCAGTCATTGCTTGTGTTAATGCCAAGTTGTGTTTGTAGCTTATTATTTCTGGTGCCTAAAAAGTAATATAGCATTTTTACAATTTAATCCATAACCTCACCAAATTCTTTGTTGTTTCTTTTTCTGTAATCCAGTGAATTCCAGCAGGGGAATTTTTTAAATTCTCAGTGTAAACATTAGCCTATGCCACATAATCTACTCTTGTGTTTTCTTTACCCTGTTATGGGTTCACTTAATGCTGAAGGCTCTTCCCTCTCTTTTCCAGGGTGCTGATAAGACAGTGAAAGGTCCAGATGGACTGACCGCCCTTGAAGCCACTGACAACCAGGCAATCAGAGCTCTTCTCCAGTGATGGATGGACGGACTGATAACTTGGGAAGAATGACTCTCCTGTGGCCTCACACTGCTGCCTGTCTGTCTGTCACTCTCTATCTGCCAGCTTCTTCAGCTAAATACTTTCAGAGGGGTGAGGGGAGAGAGAAATTCATAACAAATCAGACTACCAGAAAAAAACAATGTTTTGGAGGAGGGGAAAAGCCAGGATCAGGATTTTACCAGAATTCCTGATCAAGCCAGCCTCTTTTCCATTTCTAATAAAACACACAGCTTATACCCAAGGGAGAGCAAAGACACAATGTACCAGGAACATTTGACCTTTCCAGCTTCCTAGCTAATTCATTAATTAGATTGTGTTGAAGGTCTGATTATACAAAGGCCAACTCTTATTTGGCAGCCCTACCTGTGAGCAGTAGTGGCTGCTGCGATGTAAACCTAGGGTGCTGAGATAAGCAATTAGCTACAGCCTTCTGCCTTAAGAATGCACTCTCCTGGGGATTTCCTGGCACAGTTAAGAGCGCTGCCTGTGGTTGGTGACCAAATCTTCCCTCAGTGACTTTAAGCTTTATGTGAAAGCTCAGTTAAGGTGAGGAGGGGCACACTCCTAAATTGCTGGATGACTGAACTTTGGATTTTCTCTCCCCTTTCATGAGGATTTCATGTCTCTTTAGATAAAACTGACTAGTTTTATTTATAAAATCTTAAATTTTAGAAATCTAAAGGAGAAACCATTCCAGTATGTGTATTTTTTTTCTCCTGTAGAGTCAGACATTTATGTAACATTGAAACACTTTCAAACTCCTGCTGGTAGTAAAAGGGGGTTTAAAAATAGAATCATAGCCATAAGCGTGTTAGTATCACATAAAGAGAGAAAGGTTTTCTTAGTACCTATTGATTTTCTTCATTTGCTGTTTGAATTAATTGACCTCAGTTATGTTTAGAGAATCAAGGAACATTCTTTGGAATGCCTCTCTCAGACCCATCTTGGATGCTGATTACTTAGTGCACCAAAGCTATCACTGGGGTTAGATTACTATTTGGACAAATTTAACCCCATCCCTACAGAGATATGCTTGTTACCAGGTTCCCCGAGTTGTGGACAGGCTTCTGCTGAACATGCCAACCCACCTGCATAATGTGTTTTTCTTTCTTTTCTTTTATAAAGTCATGCATTGCATAAAGTGTAACAACTTAATAATCTATTCTGTGTTCTTAGAATACAGTGCCCTGAAATGGCATTCTTATGAATTGCAGAAAATTTAAGACACATCTCCAAATGTTTATTTCATGAGCAGTAAAATTAAACATGTAACCTTAAATTTGATATCTTGCATTTAAAATATTGAGATTTCTTTGACTTGCCATTCATATAGGCTTACTAAAATATTAGGGTCTTTCCTTAGCCGAGTCATGCAATAATTGAATGTACCTCAAATTTTTAAAGGGGGGAGGGTGGGTTAGGGACTTATATTCAGATTGTGGATAATATAGAACTAATGATTTTTTTAAGGCAATGTAGCATTCTACAGCAGGGTTAAACTATTATCAAGAACAGTCAGCTCCTGGCTAATAACAAATTTTATTAATCAGTTGCTGATTGGTTGGTTGGTGTGTGTGTGTGTGTGTGTGTGTGTGTGTGTGTTCATGAACCCTTTTTTTATCCTGTGGCTTTTTCACTTTCAACTAGCCTAACCCTGTAATTTTCCTATGTCCAAGAAAACAATCACAAAATGGTGGTTTAAAATACTTTATATTTGGCAAATTCTGCTGTCTTAATGCAGCCTATTAGAAGTTGGACATTCTGATTGGAAATGGAGGGCACTCTGTCAGTCTATAACTATCAGCATAATACAAAGGGTGGTTTCACCTCTTGGCGTAATGCTATTTTTAAGGCTTGAATTTTGCCCTTCACACAATTTTCACCTTTACTTTGCAAGTGTTGTATTGTTGTTGGCTGTTGCAGAGAGTGCACCATCCTATCATTCCTAAATTTGGTCTGCTTTCTGCAGTCATTATGGGCTTCTTTGTACGGTTTATCCTGATGTTCCTTGTAATGCAGTAGAGGCTATCTCGCCTTCCCTCTTCTTTCTCAGCCATTTTGTAAACCCCATAATTATGAAGCAATTGCTTGAGAAAATAACATATAAACATAGAATAGAATAGACTGACCAAGATGGTTTACACTTTCTTTTTTTTTTAACTAGGTTATTTATAATGTATTTCTGAACCACTTGGCAGAGAAATTCACAACACTTATGTTCATATTTTGAGTAAAGCTAAAACCATGTCTGTTTTTTTGGTACTACATGCATTAGCAAAAGGTTAAGTAAGTTTTGTTCTCCACTGAAGTACTATTTAACATCTCAGAAAAAATCTTGCATGTTCAGTAGTTTTGTATTAAATCAGTCATTTCGTATGCACTATAACAAGTAAAAACAGGTTGTTTGCCTGTTTACAGTAGGATACTAACAAATTCCCCCTGCAGCTGCAGACTGGTGTTTATAGACTTAGAGTTTGTACACAGCACCTGAGTCTTCACGTAGTTCTTTTTTGCACAGCTCGCCATTCTAAACCCAGCTGGGCACAGCAATGTAGTAGGTAGGTGCAGTGTGTGGAAGCTGCAAACGAGTAGGCCCTTTATTCACTGATTTCTTTCCCCAAATAATGTATTTTAAATCTACATGTACCTATTTTTTTTTTCCCTGAAACTTCAACTGAGCTGCTGTTTTCTTCCATGCAATATTGTATACTCAATTGTGTATAGAAGAAGCTGGTAAGAGTGCCCTCCTACATAAATAAGCAATTGCAGTGTTTGCATGCAAAATTTTAAAAATTTAAATTGTCCTGATTCTATTTTGTAAATGGAGAAACAATCATATCTTTCTAAGCAGTAATGGAGAAAGACTAGTGCTTTGTGCATTTTGATATATTTGAGTTCATTTTTCCACAATGTCATACTTTTGACACAATTGGGTTTCTCATAAGTATCCTAGTTCATGTACATCCGAATGCTAAATAATACTGTGTTTCAGTTTTGTGTTGCAAGAACAAATGGAATAAACTTGAATTGTGCTACAGCTAATGTCAGCAGTGTTTTTCTCCCTCAGTTACTATTGCCTTCCTTTTCAAGTCTTCTCTACAACTATACCAGAACCTTGATTGACTCAAGGTTGGGTTGGTTGATTGACTTGGGTTCAGTAAATCCCACTATTAATGAATCTAAATTATTTTATTCCACTTCCAGAAAAAAAAATAATAATAATAATAAGTGGGAGAAAATATTCCTAGTCATTGCACTTTTTTTTTTTTTTTTTTTTCCACCAGTCACTCATTGCAGTAATTTGTAAATGTTTAACAACCCTCTTGGCCAACTGGGAACTAGATACAGCTGACAACATCAAACTTGTCATTGGACTTGAAGAAAACAGTCACAGTCCGCCTCGTCCACGCATTAATTGCACATTTAAGTTCCTACACATTTTTTGGAGATACACATTTTCCAAATTCATGATCACCAGCTCTTTTAGGGTGTTCTTTTTAGGATGAAATGATCACTTTGAATCACAAACTGAGCAAGATTATATGTGAAATCAGCAAGATTATATGTGAAATATATTTGATTCTATTGTAAGCTTGTCAGCACCAGAAGACTGCTGCTTAGTTTATTTTTGAAGTGGCCCATTAATGATAGAAAAAATCTGTGCCAGTCCGAAGATACAGCAAAAGCTGTCTCAGAACATCCATGTTGTTGGCCAGCGTACAAACAGGGTGCCTATGTGTCTTTACGAGGATATGATCACAGAAAATGTTTCAAAAATTCCCGTTTTAATTGGGTTCTAGAAAGAAGGTGTTTAAATATGCTTAACTATGTTTTTTTTAAATATTTTTTAGTGATAGTTGGACACTTACTCATTTTCATGTGGTGCTGAGGATCAAATCCAGGATCTTGCACGTGCTAGGCTCTACCACTGAGCCAAAACCCCAGCCCGCTTCACTTATGTTTTAAAGGGAACAGAACCCCTTTCTACATAGACTGAAGAGAATGAAAAGCACATGTCTGAAGGAAGGAGCAAGCTAGAGTGGAATTCTGTGATTAGAGAACAGCTAGCACAGAATGTTCACATAGCAGTGTACCAGACTGCCATATAATTTTTTTTTTTTTTTTGGTTTTGATTTTTCCTTTCTGTAAGATCGGTTATTCCAAAACTGGTCGTGAACCAGCAGCATCACCATAACCTGGAAACTTGCTAGAAATGCACATTTTTTTAACCCAGCAAACGCTACTGAATCAAACTCTGGAGCTAGGCCCAACACTCCTTTGGAACAAGCTCTCCAGGTGATTGTGATGCACACTAAAGAAGAAGAACCACTGTACAAGAACAAAGGAGAGAAAAAGCTGAAAGCCTATAAAGGGGACATCATCAGATCAGGCATGGCTTCCTAGAGAGAGAATGTGGAAGACGTCAATATGTGGCAGCAGAAATGGCTGAATCTTAACCTTTTTCTCCTCTAATGTGCATCAGTTGTTGTAGCAGTATTTCCATAGCTGAATTCCTCAGTCTTGAGCCCTACCTAAGTCCTTTCTCTGAATTTCCAAAGAAAAGGGGGACAAAAGATTCCTGGGAGAGGTCATGAGCCCATCTCCTAACAGTATTGTGGGTTCTTGAAGTCACTAAGTTGTGTGCCTGACAATCCTGCAGCAGCAGGAAGGCCCCCCCAGGGGACTGAGTGCTGCTGTGAGTCTGCTGAGGGGCTGGACACCCTTGCAGTGGTTGCACCTGTGGCTCAGAAGCAGCAGCCTTGTGCCAGGTGCTCTGGAATGGAATGTCCCCCTTTCTCCACACTGTGAGCTGGCCATTTCCTCCTGTTTTTGTTGTCCTTGTGGGTGTCACTCAGCCAGTTCCTTCCCCAGATGCTAAGCAGATGGTCACAAATCAGCCACGGGGTTTTCTCTTAAGGCTTTTACTTAAATAGCTACAGAAGATGTTTTTTGAGCAACTTGAATAGCACCTGACACATGGTAGATATTCATGGTAGTTGTCCTGAACTGCTACTGAACTCTTACACTGTAAAATGTCGGAGCAGCTGGGTTCAGTAAATCCCACCCAAGATGACCTATTAGAACTAGGCTACCTGAGTAGTCAGTGTCCCCAGCCACTGGGCAGAGAGCTTCGTAAGTACTACTGGTAGTGCAAACTCAGATGAATGAGGTGAAGACAAATGCGGTTCATGAAGGAAATGCTGACCATGGGGTCAAATGTAGGTCACTTTGAGCCACTGCGGCATATACTAAAGCACAGCTGTAAATGGCAGAGCAAAACCAAGCATTGTCTGGCCACCCTAGCAGCTTCTATGCATTCAGCCACTGCAGCAGCAAGGACGGTCTTATTTACAAGTGGTTAGGGCAGAACAATGGGTCACGTGTCTGGCAACTCATAGCAGAAGCATCTTGTCATACAATGGAAAATAATACATAGACAATTCCTGGTCTCTGGATGCCAGTTCTAAGGCTACTACTACATAGTAAAATAAAAATTTTTTAAAGAATTTATCTTTTCTAACAAATCTGAAAGTGTACTGGACACTGCACATTCTCCTCCTATCTAATAACGTTCCATATGTTTATGTGTGTCCCCTGCGGCAAATCTATGCCACGGCTCCCTGTGGCTTGCTTGTTGCATTTCATAGACTTGAAAGCACTCAGATCTAAGTTAATTTGTTGATTTTTCAATGAAAAGTTCTTGATACATGAACCTGTAAACAATCATATGTCTATTGATTTTCTTTTAAAGTTAGCTTTATGACATTTTGATGCTTGTACCATTTTAATAACATTTACTATAATCTGGGCAGCACTCTCAAGTATTTTATGTAGAATAACTCATTTGGTCTCCATAAAAACCTCATGAAGTAGAGCTGTCATCAATCCTATTTTCAAATGAGGAGACAAAAACTCAGAGCCTCGATAACTTTGTCTACTATGGTCACACAACTAGTCAGTGGCAGAGCCAAAGAGTCTTGGCTCCAGAGTCTGTGCTCTCCACATCTGTATTATATTGTCCCTCTGACTCACTGAACCAGCTCATTACATTTTATTCTATGAACACAACTTTTGTTGAAACTCTTAAAAAGATATTTAGAAAAGATTATATGGATTTGTTTATGGTTTTAAACTAGATTTTAAAATGTTATGAAACATGAATATACACTGATCAGTTTCTTCCCAGGATCCACAAAAATGACATTTAAGTTTCATGGCATTTAAATTTCAAGTTTGAGAAGTCGCAATACTTGAGTACAATATACAATATTTTTGACAATCTAGAAAATCACAATCAAGAATTGACAAACTAGCGAGGCGCAGTGGCACATACCTGTAATCAGTGGCTCAGGAGGCTGAGGCAGGAGGATTGTGAGTTCAAAGCCAGCCTCAGCAAAAGTGAGGTGCTAAGCAACTCAGTGAGACCCTATCTCTAAATAAAATACAGAATAGGGCTGGAGATGTGGCTCAGTGGTCAAGTGCCCCTGAGTTCAATACCCAGTACCCACCCTCAAAAGAAAAAAAAAGAAGAAGAATTGGCAAGCTAAGGACCACTGTTTTATAATAAAGTTTTATAAATAAAATCTGTTTTATAAATAAAGTTTTATTGGAATGCAGCTATTGCCCATTCACTTACATATTATCTCTGGTTACTAGTGCGCTTGAACAACAAGTGAGTAGAGCCTGTGGTTTGTGAAACCCAAGATTTTTATTATCTGCCCCTTAAAAGAAAAAGTTTGCCAACTCCAGATAAAGATGTTAGGTGGCACGGGTAGAGAAATCCTCTGTAGAATTGGCTTGCTCCTGTTTATAGAGTGATTAGCAAGATTATGAGCAAATGTAATGGCTTAGTGAAAGCAAATAAAAAGCCCAGATAATGTGCCTCTCTTTATGCCACACAGTGATCCCAGTAAGTCCTGCCCACCAGCACCCACGTCCTTGTGTAATTCTTCGCCACACTGAGTCTTGAATTTAGTCAAAGGGCTTGCTTGGCCACAACTGAGACATCAAATGTGAAACAAGCAGAAGCTTGACAAGTGCTTCCTCCTTGGGGCTTGCCTCTTGGATCTCAGCATGAAAAATCTAGGGTCATAAGTCAGGAGAATGGAGGTGTCCCTGCCAACAGCCCCAGGTCACTGCCATGTGAGTGGGGCCCCCTTTCTCCACAGAAAAGTCTTACCTGGGCTTCTCCAGAAATCTTCACCATGGCTGATTTTAGGACTGTCAGCAAAAGAGTCTCTACAAAAGAGTTCAATGTAGATAAACTTCCTATTTTTGTGTTGCCTTGTTTTACTTGGCCACTGGCCGGGAAGAAATTGGCACTCCAGGTGCTGGACAGCCCCTTACTAGTTCTTCACAAACATGTATCCAGTATAGTAGTTTGTAGAAATGTGCAAACAAGGCCTCTGGCCTTGAGCTGGGCTTCACAGAGATGTCTACATTTATTTCTAAGATAAGAGAAGTTAACAGTTGGGTTCCATGGTAATAGCTGGAGGGCGAGGAAAGAGAGGGAAGAAGCTCTCCCTTTCTCAGGTGTTGTCCTTGAAGGGTTAACTTGCCCAGAACAGTGAAAGGAAAAGCTGCTTTAATGTGAACTTCTGCAGAGTGTGAACTTCTGGGCCCCTCCCCTTACATGCTGGGTATAAAACTCTGAAACTCCCTGAACTCCGGGTTTCGGGGGATTAATTGATTACAGCAAAAGCCATGCCCTCTGAACCTGGCTGCAGCCAAATAAAACTGTTTCCTGCTGTCTTCGGTGCCTTGCCTCCTCTGTCCCTAC